GGATGATCTCAGAAGCCAATCAGCGTAGATCACGCTCCCTGTCTAAACGTCTTATGCAAGAATCTCTATATTATTCAAACTTTTAATGAAGTCGCTAAACCAGACTAGGTGAAGTACTTAATTATAGTTAACAGTGATTCGTCAACCGAAAGTTCATTTTCAGGGGAATGCGTTGATTTACGTTGATTATCCTCCTCGTTTACCCTCTTTTCGTAAAATCATCGTTATTATACATTGACACGATTTATAAACAATAATATAATAATAATACGTATAAATAATTCTTTACAATTTTTAATGGATATATTTTTCATTTTCGTTCAAAAGATAATCGCGAAGATATTATTGACAAGATGCGTGCAAATATACGAGTGAAACGAAACACACACGTGCAAACAAGAATCCTATGTTTCACGAGAATAAATGGAGGAAGATGTCTGTATGCGAGAAGCAAATTGGTGCGCGCGCGCACACACACACGCTAGGATATCTTTGTGGGCATCGTCTTAACGTGCATAAGTGATATAAAGCGACATGTGTGCAACACGCACCTCTCTAACGATGGACACGTTATCACAGGTGAACGTTCTATGATCGATCCTATCAACTATCAAACTCCATTAACTCGTACGTTCGCGTTGCCATCTGGCCTATACTACTTGTGTTCACCAAGTGTCGGTCAACTTTGCTACGTGAACCCGATGTCGTCACAGCAATTAAGACACGTTGCTACATAATCGCAACGTGAAACGCGATGACCAGCCATCCAGTTGAAAATCTGCTCTTTCGCATGTCTATCTAGATTCTCGATAATTCAATATTCTTTTTTTTTAATAATAATTCTATTCTTTTTTTTTTCTCTTTTAATTATTGAATTAGAGTGTGAAATAATAAGGAACGTTCGAAATGTAATTCGTTTCTAAAATATTATATGGCTTACGAAAAGTATATAACGTTTCAATTTTATTTATATTTTTGTTTCTGTGAAATTTCGTAGGGAATGGTAATGTCACGAATAATAAAAAAAATTTGTAAAATTATATAGGGATTACTGTTGCAAATTCTTGTTGCAGAAGAAACAATCACTCTATTATTTTGCAAATATAAATGAATAAAAAAATATAATAAGAAATGAAAAGAAGGAAGTTTAAATTGAACATCGAATATTGTTTATTCGTATACATTGAATTTTTTAACTCTATATAAATAATTTCTAAAATCGTAAAACGCTTAAAATATTTTCCAAAATCTTTCTATTATTTTCTTTATCCCTTTTGCAAGCCAGAAGAAAAATAAAATAAAATTTATTCTTTTTTGTATAAATAGCATTCTCAACGCGTTAATCATTAAATTTAATAATAGGCAAAAAATAATGTTGGCCAGACGAGAAAGATGAGGAAAATCATGAGAGGATTAATACGGAACGTTGAAGACAATGGATATCACAATTTTCAATTCGAAACTATTGGAATGATATCTTGAAAATCGATATAACCGCGGTAATTTTTTTTTTTTTTTCTTTTTTCATAGGAAGACGCGATGAATATTATCCTTTTGTTCAGGATTCACAGAGCCACGCCCAGGCAGGAAGTTCTCAGATCGATATCACCTATGTGTACTGTTCATGAGTAGCGTATCCATAATCTTTTTAACAGCTCGTAAAACGTGAAGATTTCATTTGCTGGAAAAATGAATCCTCCACTCGATTCTTTAACAAGCCTTTTAACTCTTTCCCCACGAATAAAGTCTCTCTTTAGTTTAGGACGATACACGTGTTGGTATGGCAAAAGGTAATCGTGATGTAAATAGAAAAAAAATAAATAAATAAATTAAAAAAATGCCGACAAACACACACGAAATATATTTGTTCATTGTAAAAGATTTTTCACTTGCTGTAAAGTAGGTATTTTTATAAAAAAATAATCATTTAATTCTTTCGAATTAAAAGAGCAATCGATTTCAAACTAAACATTCGCAAGAATTGGAAAATATGGATTTATTATAATTCTCATTCATAGAATGAAATAATCATTTAACGCTTAATAAGAGATGGAAAACTCGATTTATGCTCCAATTGTTCTCCGTTTTCCTCCATGTTTTATCTCTAAAACAGCTAACTCGAGATGTATAACCGAATATTATTCGCAAAAAAAAAAAAAAAAAAAAAAAAAAAAAAAGAAAAAAAGAAAAAAAAATCCGCACCAGACTAATTGATTTGAATATCTGCGTACGTCAGCGCTCGAGGCGAAATATTTATGAACAGACGATTTCGAACGATTTAAATAGTCGATCGACTTTAAAAAGAATTAAAATCGAAAAATATTCGATAAAACGTTTTCTTCCTTTTTTCTTATCTTTTCATCTCGATTCTTTATACACGTATTACAAATTAACAATTAATTTTTAATTCTTAACCAAGCAAAGGACGGTGTTTTCAAGAAATGGTTCCAATTGTATACAGGACAATTTCACAGGGAATTTTACACTTTTTATATCCCCTTTTAATGAATCGTATGCCAAAATTTTTTCGTAATAAGTAAATCGTTTCAAGGAACGCGTTGTTTCTTAATTTTTTTGAAAAACGGTCTGTCTGGTTCAAAAATATTTTGAAAGCAAAAGTTTCACCCTCGAACGAGTTCGTTAGTTCGTTAACACGGTCTATTTTTACGAATCTGTTTTGTACCAAAGGAGAAGTTCGACCAAACTTAATTAGTCTTCTGTATAATGTTAGGGGCGTCAAAGTGGAAACGTGAAACGTCGAGAAGCCTCTCTTTGATGAATGAATGAAAGCCGAGTAAACGTTTTACATATGTATCACGGGCTAGATTCCTTTATGGCATTCCATTCTATTCTTCTTCTTCTTCTTCCTTTTTTTCTTTTTCCTTTTCTTTCTTTCTTTTTTTTTTTTTTTTTTTTTTGCCTAATGAAACATTATATTTATCTTTCTCCGGTTTATGAACACTGATTCTTTGTTAAATCATCTCAAAGCGACATTAAATGAAACGAGCGCCGCGTAAATGGTTTTCCAGTAATTTGAAGTGAAATTATGGGAGATAATTGAGGGAATGAACAATGAAATTATCGCGTGAATTTATCTCAGCGAAATGGATGAATTTTGATTGAATTTCTTCAATTCGTTATATTCGAAACTTGTTATAAAAATTGAGGGAAAAGTGCCCTTTCTTTCTTCTATACTATCCAGTGAGGTTGATAATTTGCATCTTTGTTTCCTTTTTATAAAATTTATCATTTACTTTTTATACGATATTATTTCACTCGCAAAGTTCTTGAACAGATATAAAAAGAAAAGAAAAAATTTCCGATTTTCAAAATTCGCTTATGCTTCGAAGCATATACATTCGCGTAATGTTGAGAATTATGTTGTTACTGAGAAAAATCGTTGATTCGTTGCAACGAATTTAACTCGTTTAACAAGTTTATCATAAAAAGTTGGGACACGAGAGCATAAATCATTTACTCGATATAAACAGACCGTGAAGTGGGCAGTGTAACATCGAAACTATTTTATAACTTTGTTACAATTTGTTATCCTTCTCGCAAATTATGCGAAAATGAAGATAAATTTTGGCGGGGGGATGAATTTTTATCCCATCTCTCTCTTGTTATAACATCTTCTTATATATATATCTTGAAAAGAATGAGACGATAAACAGAGCATAAAATTTTAAAACCTCTTTCGAATCTGGCGACATTTTGGTTGGTTGAAGCACGTCTAAACGCGAACCACGGTGCAAACACTTGAATTAGATTAGTTTGCTTTCGTGGATACATACGTTGATTGTCTGACAGTTTCGAAGACTACGAGATTTAGTGGATGCTCGCAACTCGTCACGTATATATATATATATAAGTTATCTTTTTGACGAGTATTAAACTGCTTATGTCAGGTATAACATTTATATAAAGTCAAGCAATTTCATCGAATTAATTAAGATTTATTAAGAATTATTGAGCGATATAATTTTAATAAATAATTATTAAAATCGTACCTACAATCTAATTTTTATCGATCCAATTTTTTAAATATTGGAATATTAATTTCTTTTTTTTTATAATAATTTTGGATCACAACAATAGATGGTAGTATAAATATTAATTAAATTAAGGTTAAAAAATTATAATTAGGAGAAATGAAGTTGCGTATTATAAACATTTCGAAACATTTTTTTTTTTTTTAAGAGAAATATTTCAGCGTATAAAAGACGGGTGAAAATAAGAGGAGAGAGGATTTGAAACGGAATTGCAGAGTTACAGAGAAATTTAAAATAAAAATAACGCGAGATTTTAAAGAGAAGGAACAATGCAGAAGCTAGAGGAAAGAAACTAAAATATAGGATAGAAAAGAACGTAAGAGTATGAACTTATTCGCTTAGAACAAAAGAAATTCTGAATAGCATAATATAAAAGTAGGAGAAAATTGATTCGTATAACAACAAAAAATTGCTCAAATTAAACAAATATCAAATATTAAAAATATTTACATGATTAAAATAAAAATATATTTATTGATTATTATGCGATAATGATGTTAATTTTATTATTTTATTTTTATGTTTTATTAATGCTGAAAGCAATTATTGGAATATATAAACTTTATGAACGAATATGAACTGACGTATCGATATGATTGCTTATGAAAATCGAAAATGGAAAATTAATTTAAAATTTCAGAGAGAGAGAGAGAGAGAGAGAGAGAAGGGGAGGAAATCACAAATGTGTAAATTTTTGTACAATGAGATTTTCGTTCAAATATTTTCAAGCAATAGATTTCTTCTAAAAAATATAATATATAAAATTATAATAATTATATTATGTATTTTCTCGTTTTCCTAATTTTGATTTTATTCTATTTAAAGTAATCATAATTGAAATGGATAACGGTAGATTATGGTCTATCCAAAAGTTTTCCAAATATAGAGAACACATTTTCTCATAAGCGGAGCAAAATATTATTTTTAAACAAGAGAAATTTTACTCACCCTCTTAAACTTAATACGGATGACATTAACGGTGTATCCTCGCCATGCTTTCTACATTTTTGACGAGAATTTCTTCTGGCCTGCAATAAAAAAAAAAAAAAACAAAATTTACTTTACACTACGTAACACCATTTTCATCGCATGATCCGATTTTCTCAAGTACCATATTTTTCATAAGCTGTATAATCTTATATATTCTAGAGAAGCAGCCTACAATAAGACTCTTTCTTTACAAAAGTTATAAAACTTCTTCTTCGAATAATTAACATAATTAAACTCAAAGAAAATCGATTAAATAAAGATTAAATAAAGAGAATGCTTTACAGAACAAAAAAAAAAATTTAAGACAAATTTTAAGTCTTCGTTAATAAAACTTTTATTAATAATAATATTTTTATATAGATATAAATAAATAATTTATCTTAAAACTCGATTAAATCCTATTAAAATTATCAAAACTTTAAACCGTTATAATTCCAAAAATAACGATTTTTTATAGATGAACAAAAGATCGTTAGAAGCATGGATTCTCTCCCTTTAAAACGCTTTTTGATTTATCTCGATACGATTTCCGGTTCCCGAGATATCGTCGCGTAAATGAAAACGTAATTTTTAATCGTTTATAATATCTCCGTCCTTGTTGCATATTCGGATCTCTTGCTCGCACTGACGCTCGTCTCACTGACCTATCTCAAACTCCAGACAAGTGGCGGACGCGATTCCTGGAAGAACATAGTGTACGATTCCTAGAAAAACGTAATACGTATTTCCAAGAAAAATGCAGGTCAATAGCCCATTCGTAATTTCTGTACTAAGCATTAGTACGAAAACTTTTTTTGAGTCTTTATATCTCTGCAGCCAATCGAGATATCGAAATAATTCAAAAAAACGATTTCAATGATTTTCTCTCTGAGTAGGATTTTTGACGACAAAATTTTTCTTCTCGTGCTTTTTTTACGTGAAAAATTAAAGTTTCATTTGTGAGATTCTGTTCTTCTCGCAGTAGAAAGTGTATTATTTAATTTTAAATATTTAATTATTAAGCACGTGTAATTTTCTAGTTTTATTTTTGTATTTTTTACGAGTAATTGTAAAATATATATATATAAGATACAATGGTCGAGCAATATCGGAGAAATTACATTTGAAACTGAGAGAGAATAAAAGGAGAGATATAATAGCTATTATAATTTTACTGGTTTTGTTTCAAAGCCACTGCTATTAGTAAGTAAACGATATCGGTTAATAAGATCTTCATAAAAACGATGAAATAAACGGGAATCGAATTTTTCTACCTTGAACTTTTTTTTCTCAATAGCGCGATGTCTGTGTTGCAGATTGTCCAAGTGGGAACAGAAATTGCTTATTAAAGAGAGAAATTCAATAGACGAGGGAATTAAAAAACGACTACAGCGATCGTTCAATACCATAATGCGAAAATCTATAGAATATAAAACTTGTGAATCTTCCAATTACTCGAAAAAATTACGCGGGAATACAATTCATAATTATTTAAAATTTTAAATAAATATTCACAGATACATGATTATTATTTAATTTATTTAACGAATCTAATGAAATTCTTTTTATTTTTGTCAATATTAATTCGAAGATAAAGCATTAATTTTTATCATATTTTTCTTCAATCGTAGTCATCTTATCTACCACTTTCCTAACTTTGTTGCAAAGATCTAAACTACCAAAGCCTTTGAACTTCCAAGTAAACAAATAGTTACGGAACATGCAAATCGCCACATTCCATATTCCCCCCTCCCCCCAAGTTACGAATACAAGAAACTTTTCACGCAATTGATAAATTTTTACCAGAGATTAATGATCCTAAATGTGTATATATATATATTCAACACATCCTCAAAATTCTATTCCTCCTCCTTCATCGATGAATTTAATTTAATCATGAACGTATTATTGTTTGATCAAACACGAAAGAAGGAACAAGATGCTTAGTCATCGGCCCAAAAATGAATTATTAATCAAATTACATATTCCCTTTACGATTTCTATCAGGGGAGTTTACGTTGTACCGTAAGCTTCGAAAGCTTACGTTCGAGGAATAAATCAGGATGGATATTTTTTCTTAATTTTAAAAGCATTAAATGCAAAGATAGAAGTAAAAGATTTGTGTAAAGAAAATTTAAATTCTTAATCGATAAATCATTAATAAAAACAATCGCATTAAAAATTAAAAAAAAAAAAGAAAAAGGTATTTTGATTCTTTTCCTTTTTTTCTTTTTTTTTTTTTTTTTATTTTTTTTTTCGTTACATATAGGCGAGAAAAAAAAATAGAATTGCAAATTCAGCGATAAATCCTGTTAGTACTCGCGAAAAAAATTCTATTCTATAAAAACATTTAACGCTTTAATTATAATTGAATTATGAAAGTAGAAGAAAGGTAAGAAATTTAAAAAAATTTAAATTATTATTATAGTTGGATAATAAATACAAAAGTAAATGAATATTAAAAGAACGAATAAACATAAAATTAATTAATTTTAGAAATATCAACTCAACATATATCTATATCTAAAATCGTTAAACATAAGTATTTGCAATATGCGATATTGAAGATTCCATTGAAGATATTTCAGTGAAATATTCTAAATACGCAGTTAAAGAGCGCAACATGCAACAATCTTATCTACAAAAGTTCGTTGAATTTATTCCAAATTGTTTTGAATTTATTACTTTTTCTTTTAAGCGAGAATAAATCGTGTATTTATTTATAAAAAAATATATACGAATGTAAAAGTATAATATGTAGTATATATTATAGTAATAAGAAAAAAAAAAAGAAACAAAATGTATCAAATTTGCGTTACAAATAAAATTACATTTGAATAATTATTTTTGAATGTGTCACAAGATAAGGAAAAAAAAAAGGTTATTCGTCTTAGAATGTTTTATATATTTGTATATATGGTTTCCAAAGCACAAGTGGACAGTGTGAATATTTTTTGAAAGAAAGAAGTCGGTCAACAGTGAAATTATTCCGTACATTTCTATCCGAATCCCATCGGATAACCTCGTACAGGGATACATAAATATTTCTCGTGTAGTTCACGGGGTTAAATTCGAACTTTGGCAGACGAGGGTGTTTCTAATCGATGCGATATTTAAGTCGGTATTTTCAACGAATAAAAATAGAATTTCGTAAAGATAACGTTTTCCTCCATTTTCTAATTTCCACATAAGAAGTTTTCCATTCCATTAGAAGTTTTTTTTTTTTATGTAAGAATAAATGGTGAATAAATTAATGAAAAATTAAAGAAAATATCTTTTCTTTAATAAAATAATGAGGAATCAACATAACGTATATATAATAAGAAATTCTATTAAATAACATTGTAAAATATATACATATAATAGGAAATAATAATCGTAGAAAATGTACGGTTATTACATGAATTTAATTAAATGCTAAAAAGCAGAGGTCGCTGCATTATATTTGACAGAGTCCCAACTCGGTTATGTTGAACATTTATGACACGATTTTGTTACGCATTCACTTCAAAGATCTCTCAGTCAATCTGTAATTATGAGAATAACGTGCAGAATTTAATGGCAAGAATATATGAAAACAATTTTGCATAATTCCTTTGTATAAATTGTATTTCAAACAATGTTCAACGAGAATTTCTCTATAACAGGGAGGGCGTATACATGATTTTCATAGCATGAAAGTCATGGAAATTTATCGGTTCGATTAAAAAAAAAATATATATATATATATAAGGCAAATATATATTATCTCTTTTATTGCAAATAATTTTCTCTTACGAGCATCTTTTTTTCTCCTCTCGAGTACCATGTAATCCCTTTGTACATTTTATCCAATTTATATTTCATTTCGAACAATCGAGTATGAATCACGTGTTATAAAGTCAAAAACCTTGATTACAAAATTTTATCAATTCTAACATAATTTTAATATAATTACGCCGTTAAATGTTTACAAATGTTGAAAAACTTTAATATTTCTTTCTCTTTTATCGATAATTCGATGTTGCCAATTCTTAAACGAATAATTTATTTTATTCCGTTAATAGAAAAATCTTATTACAATTCAGGCGACGACGTGATCACGACGTTGCACAAAGTGTAGCCGGAAACATTTTCATATTTCTTTCTTACCATTTCAGAACAGGAGAAAATGTTCAGTAGCTTAACAAGATGAAAATTGTATAATCCCATTTAAAACGGTATTGCAATTGCTTTCTTTTTTCTCCGCGCATTCTTCGATGCGTCCAACTTGACAAAACTGAGGCCTCGCTAAAATTAAATCTTGTCGGACACACAATTATCATCTTTGTAAAATTAATTTTTCTCTTCCCCGATTAAATGCAACGTGTGAATCCTTCTACATCTTGCTCTTTTTTTCACTCTTCGATTTTACGTAAAAATTTCCCCTCGATAAAGAATATATCAAACGAAATAAATTTATTCGAAATGTAATTTAACGATCGAAAAATAAGGACGTAATTTCTTTTGATAAGATTTTTTTTTAACATGCAATGAAATTATTGCAAAAGAATTGCGATATTTTTATCGAATACTTTATGCTGATTTTCCACAACAAACGAAATATTTCTTTTTTTTATTAAATTCTCTTCTTAAAAATTCAGAAATTCAATCGTTCTCGTCATACGAGAGAACGCAATCAAAGTTAATGATCTATTACGCGAGATCTTCGAAGAATAAAATTGCGTATGAAAGGTTAAAGCGGATCAATACGCGTTTTAATCTACTTCGTAATTGTAAATTAACATTCTCCCGTTAATAAGATTGGGTTTTATATTTCCGTATAGCGCCGTTTTCTTGAGCGCCATTTTTTTTTTCTTTCTTTTTTCCGTCAATCTGTGAGAAATATTGAATTAAGCAAAATATTCTTTCTACTCCTAATACTTTTAATTATTATTTATATTATAAGATCAAGTGCATGCTTCTAACTTCGATACGTATACATATATTTTAATTGAAGAAATAAATGGGCTTTTAGAGATATCAATCGAATATTAAATTTTACAAATTTAAAATATTCGCGGCGCAATAGAATTTATGA